AATAACTACAAAAAACTGTTTGAATTATTATGAATTTAATTAATTTTACCATCCCTCGTAACTTTTTTTCCAGCTTCTTTTTGTAGAAGTATGTTATATAGATAAATTTAAAGGGCGTCGAGAAAATGACTTTAGCGAAGTTTCATTGAAATCGGTACATTCGTTTAGGAGCTACAGTCTATAGCAACGGAGGTTTTTCGGCCGCCATTTCGAAAGTAAAAGGCGGATAGTAATGTCGATGAAGGAGGATCATCCTTGGGTGACTCTGATTTTTTTTTAGAAAAAAAATCGGTCCAGTAGTTTCAGAGAAAATGCGCGGACGGCGGATGGACAAAAAAAATTTTATTCGATTTTCGAATTTTACGCATCGTGAAACGTGAAAACTCAAATTTTAAGAGGGAGTTAAGTTTTTGAATTTTTTGTTCGATTACAATGGTTGATTATTGAAAACAATAAACCAAAAAAAAATACTCAAACCTTATATAAGCAAAGACATTTATTTTTTTTTAACTGATTGAGATTTAAAGTTCATAAACAACTTATTTACAGTGAACATAAAGACTAGCAGAACAGTCAGTAATGTTATGAAAAGTGTGAGCCTGAAAGTGCAGAGAAAGCTAATCTCTTAATCCTCTTTGGCAAGAAAACCCAGCGGCTATGAGATCCTCTTTACGCTAAGTAATTCTTTTCTGTAAATCTAAATCCGTTACAGTCGCTAAAGTTATTCACTTTATTTCATATTATGATAACCTTGCTGACCATTGGATTTTTCCAGGCTATATTTAGTCGAATTTGTGATTTTCAAGTATTTTTATATAATTAAAATTCTACAATAGAATATAAATAGGAAGTGTTGCCAATGACCCTGCAGGGCAGAGGCAACAATAAAAAACAAATAAATAAATAAATAAATAAATAATTAAAATGACTCAACATTCAAATAACCAATTTCTTTTATTTATTTTTTCCAATTATTACATTTAAATGTACAGTGTTAACATAAAAATTCAACAAGTGCATGTGCTGGATGGTATAATAAAATGACTAGACATATAGAGAAACTAACTACCCATTGGTAGCTCATTACAAATAATAAAAATCTGATGCGTGCAAAACACAACTTTATAATAAAAACGTCTGCCAAGTAAGGTAAGTATAGCTTTCTCGCCGTTTTCATTGGCTAAAATATTTAAGGAGGAAATCGAGACCATGACGAACTGATTGAACTTCAAAGGAAATAAACACAATCACAAATAAGACGTTGTTTTTTCTAAAAACTCAAGAGTATAAATTACTTTAAATGTATTGAAAATTACATGAGATCTAAGTAACGGCAGTAAGTGTCATGCTAGTAACGTTTAGAATCGACCAAACAATACACTATCAATAAATTTTTTTAATAAAACCAAAAATTTTATAACCCCATAATAATATTGTAATAACCTAACTCACACTACATATGATCAGTGCCTTTAACATTTCGCAGCCATTATATTGTTAACAATTATTTATATTAATTTTTTATCATTCAATGGAATCCAATGAAATTGATAATAATGGAGAGAAGAGTAGTTGGGGTGATCAATCAAATAAGAAGGCAAAAATAAATGATACTATTTATTTTGACATTAGCCGACGTTTCGACCTGAAGTTCAGGCCATCATCAGGGATAATAAAAGAACCAGATAACAAGGTATGAGAAACATAAGTAGTGTAGGTAAAAAAATTAAAGTAAAATTCAGTTGTTAGAATAATGACAATAGTAAGAACAAAGAGGTAAAAGATAATAAACGGTACAAAGTGTGGAATGATGAAGTAAACATAATGAGAAAAAAAAAGTTGACATAAGTATTAAAATGAGAATCTTAGCCCATTTTAATACTTATGTCAAATTTTTTTCTCATTATGTTTACTTCATCATTCCACACTTTGTTCTTACTATTGTCATTATTCTAACAACTGAATTTTACTTTATTTTTTTTACCTACACTACTTATGTTTCTCATACCTTGTTACGACAGTCAACTATTTAACCACTATTAGAAATTGATAATAAGTAATTTCTATACTGTTCTCTTAATTTCCTCCAAGTTTGGGTCAAATCGAATGCGCTGTTTTCAAACTATAGGCATATCAAATAACACATTTCCTGATCTTTTAGTATTTTTTTGGGTGGTATTGGATAGTATTTGATAAAATTGGTGCCTTTCCATTTTACGTATACCAAATCCCTAAATTCCCTCAAAATTTGAGCCAAATCAAACTTGCGGTTTTAGAGATATAGACGTATAAAGAAAAACGCGTTTGGGCATATATAACAGAAAGAAAGTGATAGAATTCGATAAAATTGATCCTACATCATTTTTTCACAAATAACTACCTTTTATTCAATTTTGAGCCAAATTGAACGAGCCATTTCTGAAATATTGCGTTTTCGCGTGCGTAAGCGGAAGTGCTGGTTAGAATTTAATGTAATTGATAAGGCACCATCTAAATACCATAATACCTGAAAATTTCATGAAAATCGGATAAACAGTAGTAGGTGATATGCCCGTCACATCGATTCGACTACTGACAGACAGACACCGAACCAAATTTGATTCTTGATATCTGAAAGGTAAAACGCGAGTGAAAATTTTAGATTCTGAGCACACATTCTTTTTTAACCTCTTGCAGAAATACAATGCTTCCCTACCTTCGATAGTCAACAATAAAATTAATAGGAAGCAAAAAACCTATTAATTTTACCAACGGTAAGCAATCAAAATCTCACTATTCCGTCTGTTTTATAATCCACACAACTCCACTTTTTGAGCTATTTATATATACATAGAGATATTTGAAAGTATATCTGTATATCCAACCTATAAATGATTATGGACAAAACGACTAATAGTGATTAAACTGTTATTTTCCATTGTAAAGTTTACTAAAATGAAATTAGATTTTTATTGTCTACCATAGATACCTGCAGGAATGCAGAGCTTTCTTACATCTAATGGTAAACGTACAATTAACATCCTAAATTACAACAAAGACTATCAAAATAATAAGGCATCCTTATAAAAGTATTTTCGTATATAAAGGCTAATGCGAAACTTCTATAGTTTTTAAAATAATTTCTTTTTTTTAATGAAGTGACAAAAACAAGTTATTTTTCTCTACATCAGATTAATAAGTAAATATTGGAGCGTGGCGGAGCCAACAAAAGCTGTGTTTGTTTTGAATATATACATTTTGAGACTTATTTATTTGATAAAATTACAAACATGATATTCAATTTGTCACCTTTTTGTTTGATGTGCAAGCAAACTCTAGCCAAATCGATACAATAAAAACGTTACTTTGGGTGGCCTATTTCAATTACTGATTTCAAATAAGTTCTAAAAAACAAGTAGATACTTCAATAACTATATTTAATTTATTGGAAATCACCAATGAGTTCTGCGATAAATATTTCATAAATAATTATTGTTTCAAATTATTTAATAAAATATTGGTTCTGCTGTTTAAAAAATAAAATTAATATTTATAAGCTTGAGGATAAACTTATAAATATACATTATCATTTAACATTGATATTTGACAATCAATGGCATGAAATAAATGTATGTTGTCGAATGGTTAACAAATATCTGACTGTTTTTGGGATAGGAATTGGAATAGGAGGGTTTTGAATGTGGATATGGATGGAAAATGTCGAATTTTGATAGAGGAAAAATTCCAGAATTGACAGAGCGAGCAATAAAGGAGTTTTGGAATGAGGCAGATCTGTGAGAAGGCATGTAAAGGTTAGAAGATCAGATGAATGCTATTAAGCGATAAGCCACAAGGTTATATCGATTTGAGTACTAACAGGCAGACACCGAACAAAATTTGTTCCTTGATATCTGATAACTTCTATGATATTTTTTCTCTTTTCACCTCTCTAACACGGCGTCAGATTAAGATTCAATTTTGAATAATAGCTTATTACAAAGAGGAATGATGAAATGAAATGATGGGAATTTCAATTGCTAACAATATGCAGGTCCGATTTTTAGTTTTTGAGATATTTTAATTTATATACAAAAACACTTCAATTATTCAACTTTGATCTACTTTACCCGAGCGTACCTCATAGGAAATTTGACGGCTCAACCTAAATTAACTCCCCACAAAAAAGTGCAATACGTGCGTTAAGAAGTTTTCACTTAAAAAAAGTTCTAAGCGCGCCTAAAGAAAATTTCACTTCTAAAATATATTGAGAACTAGTTGGCCCGTGCGAAAAATTCGCAGAAAATTTTGTTTAGAAATGAAATAGTAAAACAATATGGAAACAAGTAGATCCTATGTATTATGTAAGGAAGGAATTGATATTTTTCCTTGGTTGATTACAATATTCCATTACACATAATAGGTCATAATATTTAAACAAATTGCTTTGCTTGAACCTATTTTTAAACGCTGACTGGAAAGATAATAAAAGTAATAAAGACAAAATAATGACTCGATCGTAGGATATTCTAAATTATTTAAAAAAATAAAATGTAAGAACAACCAAATGTCTTTAAGAAATAATAAAGTTAATATAAACAAGTAGCTAAGTAATCTTTATAATTATCATGGGTACTATCAAGAAAAAAATGCATAGTTTTTGAGTTATTCGCAAAAAATTACTTTTCGCATGTGAAGGAGAAGAATATCTTCAAAATGAGTGGTCAATCATTGGATTTGATGAAGAATTGATGAAGTTATGGCGTACCGACAAAAAAACACCTTTTAGAAATAAATTATAGGATTAAAAATGTTTTCCAGCTGTTGAACAAATAAAATGGCGTCGATATTGGCGTTTAATGTTGAATATCATAAATTAAAAACTAAAGCCATCTATGGACTAATTCTAGTTTTATATTTACACACTTAGTGTATTAGTTGGATGAAACTTTATATTATTTTATATTTATTATATATATATACATATATATTATATTATATTATATTATTATATATTCTATTACCTTGGTAACATGGCTGAGCCTGCACCAGGTGATGGCCCCGATGCAGCCCAGGATGAGTGCGGTGAGGATGAAGCACTTCCAGTTGTTCTCCCTCTGGAGGGTACCGCATATGGTCTGCTCTACCGGGTATTGCTGCAACACACAGAGCAAATCATGTACAACAACATTCAATCATGATCAATCAAAATATTTTTTAAAATTATGATTAAAAAACAGAAGTAATTAGTAATGTTGCCCAAAATCCAAAAGCCTTACAAAGTGAAAGACCAAGACCGGCGAAAAAAAATATATAGCTTTTCTGAATAAAGATAAACTAAGTTTAAAATAATAACTAAGATTACACGATTATAGTTACTATTGTGACGAAAAATAACTAAAATAAAAATAACACTTTCAGGACTGACCATCTATCAGACTCTGCTAAAGGTTGCACACTCATTGTAGTTAAAAAGTCTATTAGTCACTACTTTAACTCTTATGAGGCAAGTGAGTGTCTGCAGAGTACCTCCGTTGTTCTAAAAGTATTTCCCTTCGAGTTGTCTGTCGCTGCTGTCTATTGCCCACCTAATGAAACCTTATATTCTCAATCCTTTAATACTTTATTTTATAATTTAGGTCATAGATTCCTATGCGGTGGTGACTTTAATTCTAATAACCAAATATGGGGCAGCAGAATGACTAATTCCCGAGGAAGGATCCTTGACAACGCTATGATCTCCAGCAGTTGCTCTCATGTTTCAAATCCTTCACCAACATACTGGCCTACTGATCTTAATAGCATTCCTGATGTTTTAGATTTCTTTATTAGTAAAGGGTTCAACCAGCTGCACTTTGACATCGAAAATTCTTTGACACTTTGACTCTAAATTCCAATCCACTTACTCAAGCTCTATCTACTGCCACAAATCCATATAATCCGTCCAGAAGACTGCTGAGGCGGTAACCAAGAGACTTATTGCATTGAGCTACTTGCTGCATCATCTTTGTATGTGTTATTTTACTACTGTTTTTTTTTTTTCTTTTTGTTTTGTTATTACTATTATTTCTGTTATGCTATCATTTCTTTTCTTCTTGATATCATATTTGCTGAATACCGAGGTAGATGGCAAATTTATTGTGAGTCACGAAAATGTATAACTAATAAATAATAATAACGTTTTATTAATAAGTATTAGTATTAATAAGTATTAGTTTTAGGTACTAAATTATATGTCAGTATAACAGCGAACATATGAGGAAGAAAAACAAAAGACAGTTTAGAGATAGATGGCGGAACCTCGCGAGTGTTGAGGCACGCAAAGAAATTTGTGTGTGAAATATTTTAGTTTTACGGTGTACACCAGATTTTCTTTTCAAATCCATGAACCTGTGATTATCAACGAGTGCCGCTTGATTTTACAAATTGGTGAATGAACATTTTCACATCTTAAGGAGTTAGACTGGGGAGACACTGACGACGCTAGCTGGAATAAGTTCTCGCTTCCTCAGATGATTCAATGTGCCAATTGGACAAAGTTCGGCATTGAGATTTTGTAAATATGTATATATAAGTTTCTATTTCCTATCTATTTTTTTTTCTGAAATATTTGTAATTGGTTTATTGTATAGTCGTAAGTTAATGTTTAGTTCTATAATAATTTTACATTCTTTTATTTGATAATTAAAGTTAATTGTATTTTCTTTGTTGTATTATAATTTTTTGTTCATAATTTTCATTTCCTTTAACAGTTATTAAAATCAATAGAAATAAGTAAATTCATAATTAGTATTAATAATAGCCAGTTTTATTTTCTTCTTTTTCTTCTGTTTGTTTTCATGTTTTATGTATATATTATATTCTTTTTTTAAAGGTTTAATAAAGAATTGTAAAACCCTATTCGAGGGATTAGGGAAAATGAATATTAAACGAGTAAGAAGGTTCGATAGGTTTTTGAGGTTAATTAACATATGTTTTTAAACCCATAGGTTCCGAGTTCGTAGCTCACTCCGCGTCCATTTCTTTTTTTTTTAAATTAAATTAATTTTATTTTATGGTTTTCGCTATTTTCCAAATTCAAACAATTAAATAGAGTGGCGCTTAGACAGTTATTAATATTTAATTGAAAAAAAAAACTTTTTTTTCGAACCCTGCCGTCTCCACTGAGCATCCGGCAAGTTTGTTGTGGAAATGAGTTTTCTAAATTAAAGACCGTAACACTATGTTAAAAGAATTGGTATAACCAATATACTTTTGCATTTAACTCTTCCCATTTTTCATTTGGATTTAGTTAGATTTCTCCATCTTGAAAAATGTCAGTCTCTATTATATGTAGTGGTAACATTTTTTAACAGATTAAATTTCCGAAAAAACTATAAAAAGATCGTCTAAAGCGGACTAGTTTTTTCAACGTTACAATGTATTGTATACTCTGATATTAATAATTGTTCACTGGCACGTTTACATTGCTTTAATTAATTATTTAAAATCGGTAGGAAAGTCATGTGACCAGATTTTTTATTTAAATAATTTTTGAAATTGTATAGATTGTCTTTACTCTACAACTCTTCCATTACAACGTGGCGGCCTAACACTATCTTTCTTGGAAGTGCCTTTAATGTATTATCAAATTAATTTTATTAATATTCAGGTGAAAAAACATCTAAATGTACCTATTCTGCAGCGTTTTAAGATCTAAAGTAACATATTTAATAAATAGGAATAAGCTAATATGTAACTGTAATACTCTTACGAGACTTTTGAGCAAGATGAGTCCTGGGCATTCAGTCTTGGTCTTGGTCTAGCGAAAGAGTCTTGCAGTTTTATATTAGTTTATTGCTACTTATTGAACATGTTACATTTGATCTTAATTACACTCAGATGTTTTATGACATGAACCTAGTAGTGTCCAATCAAATTAATAAAATTAACTTGACAATACATAAAAGACATCATGGAATGGAAGAGTTGTAGAGGAAAGACAATCTATACAATATCACCAATTATTTAAATAAAAAATCTGGTGTGTCCACTCACATGAGTTTTCTACCGATTTAAAACATTTTTCTTTCAATTTTAAATATGTTCATTAAAAATAACATAATTGAATTAGACTAATTTTCTTGATAACCGATCAGAGAGATCATAATAGTAAGATTTATTTGATGAACTAAAGTAATAAAAACGGACAAACGAACAATTATTAAAATATGCTCAAACTTGTTAACAATCTATGTAAAAAAAAATCAATGCACTAGGGCTTGAAAAAAAAAGCTTCTATTTTAAAAAGTTTCGGTATTACCGGAATATTTATTGTCGATAGCTTTTCAGTTCTTTAGCTACTACAGCTTTTTATCTACCACCTTTTCAAATAAAAGTTTAAAAGAACTTTTTCAATAAATTCTTTTTTAAGAAATATTACATTCTGTCACAGGTAATAGTGATAGAGTATTCTTAGCTTATTCATACTCTGCATATAACAAAATAATAATAGTAAAAGTACAGAAATTTTATTTTTGAAAACTTTCACTTTACAGTTCTGTCGATTTTCCTAAAAAATCTATCTAAAAAAAATGACTTACATTCATAGATACTTCAACAAACAACTTATTGGAATCATTTGTTATTTTATTAAATACAAATTGTAACTCTTATCAAATCCCATTTACTGAATACTTAATAGTTGACCGTTGTATTATAAAGGAAGGAGATGGTCCGGGATTGCGGTCATAAATAGACTAAATAGTGGTAAAACTATTTTATTGAAAGCCGACGTTTATATATTCTATACTATTATTTTCATGTACTCCAATCTTATTGATTAATTCATTTAATTGTTCATTATTCTAAATATTTCCTCTTTGTATGATCTCTCTTTTATTTTATTCTAAATTTACATTTACACTCTACATCAATGTATGATCATCCTTTTCCCACTTTGCATTCATTTTACTTATTAACCATGTCTCAATATTATCTAATATTCAAATGTAATTTTCTTACATATGTACAACAAAATATAATTATAATAAATATAATTCTGGAATGTATGTATGTAAATGAATTGATTTCTATATTTATATTTTATTTCTGCCAATTCACATTATACTCTGATCTATAATCTCTCAATTTTATTTTATATGTATATTTATAATTTAATATTTCATAGATATAGTATTTTTTCATTGTATCCATCCATATCTTCAAATTTTAGATTCTGTAATTTCCTAGGTTTTTCCCAATTACCCAAACATGTTAGCTTCCCCTATACCTGCCCTTACCCCTGGTTTTCCAGCTCTAAGTGAAACTCCTAGCTGAACACACCTGTAAGTCTCTAATTTTATTCTTCCATTTTATTTACTTATTTATCTAATTTTTGGTCTCCTTTTTTTTTTCCTTCTCCACATTCCTTTATGTCTATTATTTCATATTATATCCTTTTTCCTTTTCTTTCAATCTCTCCTGTAGATTTGTAGAAGTATATTCACATTTTCATTTATTATATATTACACTACAACAATTGTTAGCATCTATTTACTTCAGTTTAGGATCTTGTTACTCAGCTTACTTTGTTCATATTTTATTGTACTTACGGTTAATAATTTTATTACGCTTATTCACATTGTTTATAAATTATGTCTAAATATTATGTAACTGCCACAATTCTCTATCTTTTTGTATCTTGTCCGTTCTAGCCCTGAAGAAGACCTGCAAAGTCGGGTCGAAACGTCGGCTTTCAATAAAATAATTTTACCACTATTTAGCCTATTTATGACCTCAAACCCGGACCCTCTCCTTCCTTTTTAATCCCATTTACTGTTTGTTTTTTATTTAATCACAGAAAAGTTCTTCAGACTTTTATTTTAAAAACCTTTTTCCTTCAATGTTTCACTGAAAGTGTGTTCAATTTCTGATAAAAACACAATCTCTGATTTTATTCCAAGATTGGTTTGGAGATTTCAAAATATACAAGATGTTAACAATCTACTTACTATGAAATTTTTATACATGATATGATATGAATTAAAAAAAAATTGGGTATAACGTGTTGTTTTAGAGATATAGACGTACCAAGAAAAACAAGTTTGCTCATATATCAGAGAAAATAGTGATCAGAATTCAATAAAATTAAAGCTACATACAGTTTTCACTAATCTTTCATCCAACTTTGAGCCAAATCGAACGAGCCATTTTTGAAATATTAGCATATCTAAAAAAATACGTTTGTGCGTGCGGAAGCGAAAGCGGTGGATATGAAATTGATATAGGACCATCTAGATGATATCGACCCGCACAATCTCTGAAAATGTCATGAAAATCGGTTGTAGGTGATATGCCTGTTACATAGATTTGACTACAGACAGACATACAGAGAGCCAAATTTGATTCTATAACGTAAAACGCTAGTGCACATTTTCGATTCTGAGCACAATTTTTTTTTAACCTCTCGCTCGAATATATGGCTTCCCTGCCTTCGGTAGTGAGGAAGCAAAAATCGTTAATAAGAAGAGATTCATTGAAGTTAATATTTAGTTTTGAATTCCGACTAATCTAAAGTTAACTAATAATTTACAAACATGGAAAATATAATTAACTGGTAAATTTTTGAGATATAAATATAGTATTAATTTGAAATCAAGAAACCTTAGAGTTAGTGTGAAGGAAGAAGGAATGTGCAATGCAGCAAGTGTTGCAGTAAAAGGCAAACTGACCTGGTTTTACTTTACACCACTTGAATATATTCAAATTATATAGATATACGTTATATACTTCTGATATATATATATATTGAATCGGACAGTTAGTATATATGGTGTATGGAGGTATATGGATGGTATTTAGCAAAATAGAACCAATCTAAAAGATATGAAAGGTTGAATTACAGTTGCTTTTGTATAGGGGAGGTTCTTACTTTTTTTCAATCGATTCTTTATTGAAAAATATTACATTCTGTCATATCAAAGGACACTAGTAATGACAGTAGTAGCTCCTTCAAACTTTAAGTACAACAAATAAATAAAAATAAATTAAACAGCTGAATAATAATACTAAAAAAAGATCTATGTAAACAAAAAGAAAATAAATTAAATTAATCAAAATAACAACTTAACAATATATAAATGCTTTTATATAATATTGACTCAGAGAAACTCGGAGCCAAGTCTTTTCTTCCTCTCGTGGAAGGAAAGGCAGAACTCTAGGAAATCCTAGCGCCTCTCACTCAGATGCATTACTCACTAAGCATGATATTAAGGACCATTAGAGGCTGAGCAAACGCGCTTTAACCAGACATACATGGCATGAGTGGAGTATTTGGACGTTATCTGATCTCCAATATATGCTAGTTTATAAATTATGGACCGCTGTCGTTTCAACCTTCCAGAAGGATTGTAACGATAGGTGAAACTAGATAGGGATTGTGCAAGTGGATTTGAATGATGTGTAAGGTTTTGATATAATTTGGAAAATTTTTTTGGGAAATTAAAGTGTAGGATTTTGTTGGTGACATAGAATGGATAACCAAATGTTCGAAGAACTTTGGACTGGAAATATTGAATGCGTTTAGTATTAGACAATTTTGCTGTCCCTTACAGTTCTAGTGGGTTCGTCATTTTGTTAGGTCCAAATAGGTTTCAGGATTGTCTTGTAGATCTTAACAGAATTATATCTTGGTTCTTCAGTGGAGTAGATTTGAGTAAATATATGCAGTCCATGAACCAAGTCGAAATTTTGTGACTAATTTGAACAAAACATTTTATTATACAGTGTAATAATTTTCACTATCAGCATTTAGTTGCTAATTGTCCGATAAATCAAAGTAAGGGCGTTTTAAAATGATGCCCTTTGAAAGAAAAAGGAAAAACCAATTCGATAAAAAATTAATTATTTGAATATGATCTTTTTCAAGTCTCTATGAAACTGTTTTCTTGCATATTAAATTATTAAGTTTAGGTACTAGGGTAAGCGCACTAGCGATGACCATAGCTAAGGAAATATAAGTCTTCTTTGGCTTATGCCGCCGTGATTATTATAGTTATATACTTCTATAAAAATGTTATAGATCATTAAATATATTTTATATAGTCAGGACGCAGTCATTTTACAATTTTTTTTATTTGTGCCAACGTTTCAACCCAAACATGTGGGTCATCGTCAGGGCTGAAAATCTAAAAATACAATCATAGATATAATCTTATACGACCGATAATGGTAAATAATAAACTATAATGATTGATGGTACATGGGTTGAAACGTTGGCAAAAAATAAATTGTAAAATGACTGCGTCCTGACTGTTTATCATCCATGATACAGTCGACTGGCTTTCTTCAATAAATATATTTTAGGCGTTTTTGCTGAATACTTTACTCAAAATATTTTTTGTTGTGTAATTTATTGAAATGAGCCAAATAACTTGTTTCTTAATAAATTAAAAAAATATCTTATTTTCATAGGATAAGTTATCACTTAACGGATCGGAAAGTAGCTCGTGTCAACGACCGCCAAGGTCTCACTGTAATCAAACAGTTCTTTGAACCCTCTGCTAATGATGAATACAAAAATCAGCTGCGATAACTTGAGATTTTGGTAATTATTTGGCAAATTCAGGCAAGAAAGCAATACCAAAAAAAATGAGCAAGAAAACATTCCTATCTGTGTTTAAATAAATTTATATGGAATATAATTTATTCCTTTCAGTCATAGAAAACTGAAAGAAAAGCAAAGAAACAATAGAAGAAAAGAAAGAAAATGCGAAGGAAAAGATTGAAAAGAAATTCAAATAATTTCGTGACTCATAATTGATACTGGGGTAATGATTTCAGCTCACCACCCCATGTATTTAGTTTTATCATCATTTAGTTGTTTAGATTGATTTGCTCTTCTTCTCTTATCACTATCTATCCTTGATAGTAATATTGGTAATAGATATTTATAATTGATTCGGTAAATAACCTTATACGATAAATTTTAATTTTTTAATTTTATCGTACATAAAAAAATATATTTTATTTATTTTTTTCATATACATTTTTTTTCATATACATATATCGATAATTAATTTGAAAAAAAAATCCTGAAAATTATTTCACAATGGTTTATTATTTCAAAATAATTATACATTACACAGTAACATTAACTTCCTGGTTATAAAGAAAATTAAATAAAAGATGATTCCAATTATTTTACTGAAATTTTTTTTTTAATCATTAATATCTAAATAAATAGCATTACTTCAGTAACGCATTCAAAATTTAAAAACCAAAACAAAAGATATATATATATATATATATATATATATATATATAACCTTTGCAGCAAAACATCTATTAAAAAACTGGGGACCATATCTTTGCTCCTAATTGTTCGATTTTAAGGATTTTTTTTTTTTTTTTTTTTTTTTTTTTTTTTTTTTTTTTTTTTTTTTTTTTTTTTTTTTTTTTTTTTTTTTTTTTTTTTTTTTAGGAAATTCCGTAAACTTCTAAAAACCCATATATAATAACGGTTCGTTTTACCGAAATGGTGCCGACATGCTATAATAAATTCCGTGTTCAAATATCTTGTCTAAATTGAAAGTTTCCAAGGGTTTTTGCCTTTTTCGACCACTGTGCGCCTTTGATAGATCAGTTTCATTTTACTTAGGACAGAATAACCTTTCGTGATTTACATTCAAACCTTCTTCTGGACGAGGTCAGTTATTGGGTCCTGGCTCCAGGGTTACTCTATATATATATATATAGAGAGAGAGAATCACTTTATTATCATAAAAGGGTGCTGCCCAATTACATTGGGTTGCTTTAAACACAGCATACTTATTAATCGCTACAGACAATTTTCCAAAACTAATATACAATTATATAGTATTTACAACATGTATGAGCATAATATACAATTTTTTTTTTTATCTATATATATATATTTTTTATCATAATTTTTTCCTATATTTTTATTTATTTATTTTTTATTTATTTATTTTATTTTTACTATTTCTTTAATTCATTTATTAGCACTATATTTATTGGCAATATATATATATATATATATATATATATATATATATATATATATATATATATATATATATATATATATATATATATATATATATATATATATATATATATATCGAAATAGCTAGTCCAGTTCGATCTAATGTTGGAGGAATTTCGGAATCTAGTGTAAGAATAGTTATGATTATTTTGCTTACCTCTACTGGAATAAATCCAGATTGCGTCTCATCTGGAACTATTTGGCAGATTTTTTTTTGTGTTTGTTCATATGACATTATTGATGGATGTGAACAAGTCAAGAACTGTCCAAGAAATAAATATTGATATAATACACGTCATCAATGAGATAGAAGTGACATTATAATAAAAACGTGATAAAAATCTAATGCGGCGTTCATCATACAACTTTCACTGACCACTATGCTTAAATTTATGCTTAACTTGTGTTATTTAATATTGAAATATGTTATCGTTACTAAAGTTAGTAAAGGTTATCACTATTGTTTTATCAATCCCTACTCTCTGTTTTTAGTATTTTTAGCTGCATGCATACATCACAACAATACGATAAAATGGTTTGTATACAATTCTAGTACGACTGTTCGAGACATTGTATATTTTAGGTTTGTTGAACTTAAAAATAATTTCAAAAATTTCCATTTAGTTTGGAGACATTTCAATTAGGATGAATTCACCATTTATGACCGGGGACCAAGAGATAGCTAGGCTGGACTTTAAATATTTTCTTCAGTGTTATTCCGTGGTACAGATCCTTTTTTATGAAATTATTAATATCCAACTAAAATTTCGTGAATAGCTTCATTTATCTCAATGAACAAATTTTAGTTATATTGACAAAGTTTAAGGCGGGTGTTAATAATTTGATAAAAAAGGGCCTGTACAAGCAAACTTTTTTAAAGTGAAAACTTCACTTTACTTTTTTGTGGAGATTGAATTACATTGATCCGTCAGATTTCTGAAGTGTTTACGCTCGGGTAAAGTCGGCTAGATTTGACTAATTGAAATATTTTTACATATGGATTAAAATATTGCAGAATAAAAAAAAAATGTTATAAAGAAAAGAAAAATGTTTTGGTTCCTAATTAGCTAAGTATATATTCTATGGTAAAATTTATAATAATACTTTTGAAAGGTAATTAAATTATTCAACAAAACAAAACAAAAATCATCGAAATCGAACCAGTATTAGCGATGATACTGCATATTCTATTTTCTATTTTAATTTATTGCTTTCCTAGCTATACTAGGTAAGGAAAGTATTGAAATCGGGTCAAATTTCTGGTATGCGATTTTTGACGCATATATACGTTTCAGAGCCCCCTGAGTTCGAAAAACACATTTTTAGCCCCTGGGCTGTCTGTCTGAAATTCCCTTCAAAACTGTATAAAAATCGTTCGTTTCAGACAACTATTAACGAAGTTACAGCTATTCAATTTCCAATGTAAGATTACGGGTTCATATTTTAGTGTTAAAAAGGGGTAAATGAAAGAAAAAAGATAATTAAGTGAAAGTAAGAAAATCTATTGCCCGCATCACAAAAGCTTCACTTTTTTCTCTATTTTTAACAGAAATTATTGTTTGAAAAAATTAGGTTATGGAAAAATGTTTTTGATCAGCAATATTAGAATTATTAATATTAGAAAATTTTACGCTGATCTACCTTAAGCCGGTTTACATTGCTTTAGTTTATCGAATAAATCGTACTCAAATCTTTTCTTTTATCAATTTTCAGGAAAATAAATCTAATACAATTATTTTTTGTTTCTTGATGGATATATGTGAAGATATAAAAACTTTTCTGAAATAGGTAGGAAAGTCGTGTGAGTGGACGCACCAGATTTTTTATTTTTTATTTTATTTTATTAAAAAATAATACATTTTGCCTCAATTAAGATATCGAGTATTAGAGCAATGTGAGACTCATTCATGGCATATATACCATAACAAAAACAATAGAACAGCTGATTCAGTAAAATCAGTCGTTTGATTGATAATGAAATATCTATGATTGCTTGCAGAATTATTTCTTATATCATTTTTCATTTCTTATATCTGTATATAGAGAGATGTTGTTCTGCTTATCAGATAAAATGTTTTATTTTACTAATAAATATGCTCCACACATGTCACTTCTATGTTGAATACATTTAGGAGGGTATCTGATGTGAGTCCTCATTTTTTTTTTTTTTGAACTTCCTAACAAAACTATATAAAAATCGTTTCGGACTACTGTTAACGAAGTCAAAGCTATTGAATTTCGTATGTAAGAGTTCAAATCCCGCTGCCAGAAAGGAGTGAATGAGAGAGAAAAAGGAAAAATAAGTGAAATTAAAAAACAAATCTGTTGCCCGCATCACACAAGTTTCACTACTTCTTCTATTTTAACAGAAATTATTGTTTGACAAAATTGGGCTATAGCAAAAAGTTTTTGATTAGCGATATTAGAGTGTTTTGATTTTTGTTGCTGATCTTTCTCAAGCCGGTTTACACAGCTTTAGTTTAATTTTCAGGAAAATAAATCAAATTCAATTTTTTTTTTCTTGATAGACTTATGTAAAGATATAAAATTCTGGTGTGTCCACTCGCACGACTTTCCTACCTATTTCAGAAAAGTTTTAATATCTTTACATATGTTCATGAACACACAATAAAGAATTGAACTGAATTTATTTTCCTGAAAATTGATCAAGCAAAAGATTTGAGTACGATTTATTTGATTAAACTAAAGCAATGAAACCGACTTAAAGTGTAAAAATTTCAATACTCACTAATATTGCTGATCAAAAACTTTTTGCCATAGCTTAGTATTGTCAAAAAATAATTTCTGTTAAAAGTAGAGGAAATAGTGAAGATTGTGCGATGCGGGCAGATTTTCTTACTTCACTTAGTCATCTTTATTTTCTCATTCACCCCTTTTTGAGACCAGGAAAAGAACTCGTAATCTTTCATTGGAATATCAGTAAGTTTATTAGTCAATATTTGTCCAAAATGAACGATTTTTATAAGGCTTTGTAGAGAATTTCATTACCTTTCAAACGACAGGCTTTTTTTGTACTCAGGAGGCTTTGAAACGTATAGATCCGTCGAAAACCGCATGTCGGAAATTTTACCCGATTGCAATATTTTCCTTATCTAGTATAGCTAGGAAATTAAAAAATAGGTAGGGAAGTCGTGTGAGTGGACAAACAGAATTTTTCATGTTGTGTACCCATGTCAGTCGTTTGTCCAAGTAGAGTCCCAAATACCACACTGTATTTGAATTCGGTATAGCGATGTTGTAAAAAAATACTTGAGGAACAGAGTCATGCCGAATTGTGAATACCTCATTGGGGTATCTTCTTCTTCTATGTCTTCCTCCTTCGTGGGGCCTCCATCCATTTACGCTAGTCCTCACCGTCCTTCACCATGTCTATCATATGACCCAACTCTTCGCCTCTTTTCTTTCCGAGCTTGGTCACTTCGTCCTGGGATGTTATAATTTTTTCAGTGTTGGTAGGAAAGTAATAAGTTAAAAAAATGTGTAAAAAATAGAATAAGCTGTATCATCGCTAATACTGGTTCGATTCCGATGATTTTTTTTTGTTTTGTTGGTAATTTAAATACCTATCAAAAGTTACATTATAAATTACCGTATAATATATACTTATCGAGTTAGGTCCCATAACATTTTTCTATTCTTTATAACTTTTTTTCTTAATATTTTTCGGGAATTTAGTCTATATACGAAAATTGAAAGGACAATGATTAAAAAATCATAGAAAAGTTTCATCAAAATCGTTAGAGCCGTTTTCGCGCGACAGTCTGTAGAAAAACATGTTTTTCATTTATTGCGCACAAGCTATTGCGCATAAACCTGCAAGATAAAAAAAGAAGCAACAAAATCGGTTCAGTAGTTCCCAAGAAAATCTTGGCACCGACAGACAGACAGGCAGACCAATGGCTAAAAGAGTTTTTCGGAATCAGGGGATTGTGAAACGTATAGATCCGTCGAAAACCGCATGTCGGAAATTGGACCCGATCGCAATACTTTTCTTTTCTGCTCATATCATTCTATATTTCTCTCCTTGGCACCGAATCAAAAGCTGCTTTTATTTCTAAAAACGCTAAATACATATTTTTGTCACGTTCCCACGCCTTTACTATAAATTTGCTTAGAGCAAAGATGTGGTCTTGGGTTTGATGGTCTGAAAGCTGCATGTTCTCCTTCCCATTGAATTTCCACCAAGCCTCTCCATCTTCTCTCAAGAATCGATGTATACAGTTTGTATACTATCTGAGACAAACATGGGTATACTCATTGGGGAATACTAATTTTAAATATAAGAAAATGAAAGTAAAACGCTAAAAATAATTTTTGTTAGGAAAAGAGTTGATAGAAGGCTGGCAGGAAGATGAAAAATAATGTAAAAGAAGGGTGGAGGGGATCATATGACAGTAAACGGATGGTTGGAATAAATGCAAGCTGTTGAATATTTCAGGGGGTTTCCATCTTCCATCTTCCTTGTCTTTGATAACGCCTTTACCTTCCTAGTCTATTTATTTCCTTATAATTCTCTTCCCGGCCATTTCCTGCTCTGAAAACATACAAGTTATTATATATTGTTCTAATAAATAGATAAAATTAATTAATAAATAGCTTATTAATTAATACAACTGTATGGGTGGTTATCCTAGAAGTGTCAATATACAAGCTTTCTGTAAAAACTCAAATTATTTAAAAAAATCGGTAATCATCTGTAAACGCTGGCAGCGTTAATTTATTTATTTTATTGAATATTAATAAAATCGGCCACATTGATGGGCATTAGTACGAGATTTACAGTAATAATTCACACAATATGTAGATACAAAAGAGAATTACATATAAATAACTAAAATAGAGGAAATAAAGAAAATACAGAACTAGACAAACAGATGAGCAACTAATGCCATTGCTTATCATTCATATGTTTATCAGGTGATCATTACCTGTTATTTAGTATTACATACGTTAAACTTTGTACGGTCTGTCTTAATGTAGTAAATAAATAATAAGACTTTAACCTTTGATATCACCTTTGACACGATCGAAGTGAAAACATTAACAAGACGAGATAAATAATATGAAATATAAATTATAAATAATAGCTCATTATAAAGAGGATGAAATGCTGAATGATTCCCTTCCTTACAGTACTTAGGTGAAATTTTTAACATCTGAAATATTTTAATCCATATATTCAACTAACCTCGTTATCGAAGAGAAGAATAGTTGGGGTGTTCAGTCAAAAAGGAAGGCAAAAATAAATTATAATATTTAAGGGAATCCTTAAGAGAAGAAGGGAGTTCTCCCTTCGACGCTTAAGGAGACAGCTCTGATGAAGGCCTGAACTTCAGGTCGAAACGTCGGCATATGTAAAAAATAAATATTATAATTTATTTTTGCCTTCCTTTTTGACTGAACACCCCAACTATTCTTCTCTTCATTATCCACGACAGTCAACCAATTACCAATTATAACCTCGTTATCATTTGGTTTTCGACACTGTTTGTTCTTTTTCGCCTCCCAAACACGGCGTCGCGTTAACATAAAATTTTGAATTATAGGTTATTACAGAGAGGATGAAATGCTGAACAATTTCCTCGCATACAGTATATAGGCCCGATTTTTAGTTTCTGAGATATTTTAAACCATATGTAAGCACATTTCAATTAGTCGACTATGGTCTATCTATAATCTGCTCAATCTAATTCATTCTCCA